TGCACTTTCAAAAGTAATACACAAACTAGAATGCAAATGCCTTTCTGCTCTTAAACCACCACTGATCTTGTGATAATACCTCTGTTTTTTTTAAAAAAATTGTCTCAGGAGTGACTTGAGAAATTGTAAGCAGCTTCAGATGTGAGAGAATTGGCCATCCACAAAGAAGTTGCTCAGGGGACACCCAGGTGTTTTGATGTTTTAGCATCCTTGTGGGAAGCTTCTCTCATGTCTCATGAAAAAAAATACAGGAAATATCTATTGAAGGTAAAATCTCCACACTAAAATGTACATAAGGAAAATTCTTATCTACATGTTTTCATATAGATGACATTGATGATGTAACTGTCTAAAATACCATAGCAGCGCCAGATCCTGTCTTATCTTGGAAGTTAAGCAGTGTCCATTTTAGTGAGTACTTGGAGACCACCAACAAATATCAGGTGCTATGAGCTATGTTTCAGAAGAAGGAACTGCCAAAAAATCTCTGAGTATTGCCTAAATAAACACATTGAAATTCATGGAGTCACTGTAAGGTGAAAGGTGACACTTAAAGGCACATTCACATGTGATAAAGTGATAAGAAAGAATAGGACTACACAGGCATGGAATAATGTCCGGTACACTCTGGTGCATATATAGTCTCACTGACAAATATTGAATTTCACAGTGAAATGGCACTGCAATTCAGCTTTGCAAAACTCATTTGTAAATCTTCAGCTGCCACCTAGTGCCTTAACATTGGCCCTACAACCCTTTGTCTTTGAAAACGCAGGTGGAGTTGTTATTACCTTTTCTCGTAGTCCATTGTTTCATTGGCTTGTCAATATAATCCGGACAATGGACAAGTTTGCTTATCAATTTGCAGATGACACCAAATTACAGGGATTATTATTATTTGCTTCATTTATATACCGCTTTTCTCAGCCCTTTGATAGCTCTGTTAAATTTCCCAGAGGACAGGCTCAGACCCCAAAATGACTTTAATGGATTAGAGAGCTGTATCCAAACTAAGTAACAAAATGAATTTAAGCAGGGAAAAATGTACTGTACTACACTCTATGATTCTATGATTCTCATGGATTCCACTGTTTCTACCAGTAATATGTTCTGTCAGTGAATGCCATCACTCCTACAGTTCCCTGTCTACCTAAAATCATGTTCTTATAGGTGTTCCAAAGCCCCTTGAATGGTTTATAGGTGCATGGAAGGCTGAAGAAGAAAGCTCAAGTGTACTTTTATGTTGAAGAAAAAGCAGCCATGGGGCCTCACTCTGGCACATGCTACTGAAGCCCAACTGTATTATTTTCTGCAAACTTCAGTTGCTTTGAAATTGGCTTTAATGACCCCACAGTCATTGAACTGAATAATTATCCATTATTATTTTCTTTTAAAAATACATAATTATTGCAGTAATACTTTTTTTAAAAAAAGAACTTGAATATTAAGATCAGAAATAAAGTTTCTGCTTTTATGTCATCAGGTAAAATAGAACAGTTAAGCGGCCCGGTTATGCCAAGTAGTGCTGCCTAAAAGTGACAATTGTTTATATAGCATTTAAAATTAAAATCTGCCTCAGAAAAAAATTAAAATGAGAGAGACCATGGTCACAAGCATGGAAGTTAAAAATAGAGGATGGTTTTTAAATGATGTTCCAAACTGTGTTACACATAAGAGATTTTGAAGTCAACATATTTGTTTTCATATTCTTGGAAAAGATATGTATAAATCTTACGGATAAATCTGTCTTCATTGTTTAAGAACTGCCAGATTCAGAGGAGGTACACTGGGTTCCAATAGGGCCTATAATTTGAGCTAAACAATCAGCAAGCCTTAATGCTCACTTGGAAGGTTTATGGCATATCAGGGTCATGAGTTTTTCTTCATGCCAAGTGCTGGCTTCATAAAGTAAATTCAATCTATGAACAAGAAGACATTTAAGAACTGTATCATTATGGTCCATTTTCTGAAACTGATATACAGCAAGAACTGAATAAACAAATATTGGATACACAACTATTGGTTCAACTGGGATGAGAGCACACTTAAAAAAAAATAAAGAGAAATGCTATAGCATATCTATAATGAATATTTCTAGAAGAATAGCAAAATAGTTTGTGCACTGCAGAATCTGTATAAGCTGTCTAGCGTATTGACCTGCACATCTTGATGTGGATTCCAGGTGAGCTATCAGATCAGCTTCAGATAGTCAAAAGTAACAGGACAGAGGAAGGACAAGTGAGATGTAATTCTTCGGCTGCTATTTTCTTCAAATATCCAAAGATGAGCTCATGCATCTTTCCCTGTAAGGAGAAAGAGATGCACTGTCTCAGCTGAAGTTATTCCAAAACAAGCAGTAGAAGGTAAGCTCTAACTCACTTGTACTTCCTCTCTTCCTGTAGTGTCCAAAGCTGCTGTCAACACATGGCTCTTGCCAAGCCACAGTCTCAGTCTGTTCCCTGTAAGTACCCTAAACAGGGTTATTGTGAGATAACCAAGATCAGAAAATAGCATGACAATAACTAACTTCAGACATAAGGATAAACCAAATGTAAAACATAATAAAAAATACCACAAACTGTGATCATGGGATTAGGATAAGCTTCCAGAGAAAACTATTTTCTCTCAAAATTCATAAGTTAGGAGGAATATATATATATATATATATATATATATATATATATATATTCTGCACTGAGACATTTAAGCGGAAATTGGGAATGAAGCTAAATGCACAACATTGCAATGTTATAATGACCCAATCACACACATTCAACATAACTTAGCAAAGTTATGTTGAGTGTGTATGATGGGATCATTATAACATTGGCACTGAGAGGAAAATTCACTCTCTTCGGTCTTGTCAGGGACTCAGCATGAGCTGTATTTCTTTTGCCTGGTGGCAAGGATCTCAAAGAGGATGTACCATTCCTTCCATAGCACCTCTTCTTAAGTTTTTGCCCACTTGCCCCAAAATATGTCCCAAATTGTCTATGAAATCTACCATAATGGATCAATGAGATGTTGCTCATTCCTTATACCATGTTGCTGAAAATGCTGAAAATTCCCTGATGAAAAATTCTGTCTTGCACTTTCCTTTAGCAAAGGATTCCACAAGGAGGAAGAAAATGTTTTGGGGTTCTCCTCACTCTGAGGCAGTCAAATCCCATGTGAAAGAGGTAGAGGGCAACAGCTTCTCTTCACATATGACAACTTACTCCATACATAATTTAAAAAGGCAACACACAGCAGGAGAAGCAGCAACATAGGAAACCAACAGCAAAGAAAAGTGTGCTGTTTTGTTCCAGGTCAGATAAAAAGAGAGTAAGAGATAGAAATTAAGATGGTGGCGGTGGTGGCGGTGGAGGGGGTGCGTGATAAGGAAGGGGTTGAAAAGAGAAGGGATCCTATGTATATAGTATCTATTTCTTCCCAGCTGGGTGTGAATTTGGGTGCTTCTTTGCATGTAGTGGAAAATATGAAGAAGAAATTCAGTGAAAGGCCTGTGAGCAATGCTGGGTCTAAGGCCTTATCTACACTACCATATAATGCAGTTTCATAATGCAGATTAATTTTGAAGTGCATTATATGGCATTGGAAACTCATATAATGTATGTAGTTTGGGGATTTTCCTGTCACCTTGGCAGGATATTCTGTCAAAACTCTGGCTGAGCTCTGAAATGGGGAAATGACCAGGGAGGTGGACACAATTGCTCCTGAACATCCCCTCTCATGGAGCCGAGCCAAACCAATCTCTTGGTTTTTCAAGGAGTTGACAGCGATGAAGCAAGTGAGACAGAGACTAGAGCAACGCTGGTGAAGAACTAGAAGCAAATTTGACGGGGCACAGACTAAAGTGCATTTGAAAGCCTACGCCATGGCAATGGAGGCAACAGTGAAATCGTTCCTTGCTGCCACCATTGCATCTATAAGGAACCATCCATCTGAGTTGTTTTGAGTAGTCGGGGGCTATTTTTGGTCCTCAGGGAGCAATTCCTGATCACCCAGCAGCCTACCATGAAGAATTTGTAATGCACTTTGCAGATAAAGTCGCTGAGATCCATTCTGAATTGGATGCTGTTATTGACACAGTTCCAATGGATGTAACCTTGGCTCCTGTTTGTCCAGTCTTGATGGATGCTTTTCAATTGGTGCAGCCTGAGTATGTAGACAGGATCTTTGGAGAGGTGAGAGCTACCACATGTATTCTAGATTGTTGCCCTTCCTGGCTGATCAAACAAGCCAGAGGGGGACTAACATAGTGGGTGAAGGTGGTGATCAATGCCTCCTTGGAAAAGGCAAAACTCCAACTTGTCTAAAGGAGGTAGTTGTGAGACCAATATTTAAAAAGCCATCCCTGAACCCCTCTATAATGGACAACTATTGACCAGTGTCCAACTTTCCATTTCTGAGCAAGGTTCTGAAGCATATGGTGGCTTCCCAACTGGGTCACAAGTTGGTGAGTGATATGAATATTGTCTTGTAAACTGTGCATATTTAGTTATCACTTATGATGCCACACATATGTTCATAGTATAGGGACCCCCAGTGTTTAAACATACAGGTATTAATCCACTGTACAACATGCTGAAGACCAAATATTGAGTTGTGTTGTGTTGAATATACAACCATTTTTAAAGCTATGTTTCAATATAAGCTGTGGAGGGATCTGATTATGATTGAGCCTGCAGCATATGGAGCAGAGACTGCATATTTACTACAATAGCAACTTTTACCTAATTATTGTGATGTAATCACTTGCATAGATAAATAAGCCTTTAACATCCACCATTTCACATAAGTTTTATATCAGTCATAATGGTGACCTAATTTACACATTTAGCTGAGAGGCATGAAGAGTTGAATAATTTGAGCTGAGAAGTCTATGGAACAGCTATGAAGTGTCAAATAGCTATAAAAATTGTATTTATTTCTCCATGACAGTTTTAGAGTATAATAATTTTTCAAGAATACTATATATGCTCATACTACCATCTTACCTGTATCAACTGAACTCCTGCTGTTTGTTCTGTTTCTTTTGCCAGAGTGACAACATCATATTCTAGGGGGAAAAGAGCAAAGTGACCATTACTATTTCTTAAGACAAATTGAAATGTATATATTCAAATGAGGATTTTTTTAATAAAAAAAATCTATGTATATTTTTATTATACGTATTTGGTGGTATGCATTTTTGCATTTTTCTCTGTCTCTAGGTAGAAACATACAATAACTTGACTATAATAAGATAGCACCTGGTAGTTGTGCCACTAGCTATTTGAATATTTAGCACATGTAAGATTCACCAAATATGTACAAGTATGTACACACAAATCTTCTCAAAATAAGAAGGATCTGGTTTAACAAGGGACCTACTTTAAATAGAAAAACTCTACCTGCACATATAATATATTGATAAGCACTTTAAAAAGAAGTATTTTTTTCATTCTTATATGCAAGCACAAAATAATAAGAATGGATATCCCTAACAGAGAGAGCCTACTGTCTGCAAAGTCAGCTTTGGCATCAACTGGAAATCTTCACAATTTTTCTCATCCTCAGTGAGAAACAGTCTCATTAAGGCATCCTTGGAGAAAATAAGAGAGGTTTATCCCCTGCACTACGGCAAAAAGACCAGTCTTTTCCTCCATTAGCAGCACCAACAAACAATCAATCATATTTTGCACAGAACTGTTACTATGAGTATGATAAACATGATTTCTTGTGCAAACTTCCAAGCGTTGTGAAACTTATATTCGGAAATGAAAGAAACACATTCTATTGTGTGCAAAAACTTTCATAAATGCACACAGATGGAAGAAAACATTTGGAATGTTTCATTCTCAAATGTAAGAATGAAACAAGTGAAATTTGCACCCCTAGTGTTCAAGGGTGTCAAACAGATTTACAGGACACATAGGAAGTTTAGACACCCTTGAACACTAGGGGTGCAAAAGAGGTATTTGGATCCCATCTAGAACTCATTTGTGGTGTGGGCAGGGGGCTTCAAAGGAAGTTAAACTGTTGTATGACTGAAAAATCAACTCCCGAGATATTGTATTGTAGAGAAGTGTTCATTATACTGTGTTTCAAACTGTGTTTAGGCTTTACATTGTGGCCAGGGCCTAGCTGAGAGAGAGATAGGTTGCCATGGTGACAAGCCAGAGGAGGTGGGCGGAGCTTAGGTAAAAAAGGTTTGAAAGCGACAGTTTATTTTCAGTCAGGCGGATGAGACCCTGAGGAGAGTAGCAGAGTCAAGGAGGCTCTGTGGAGTAGTGTAAATTCAGTTAGTTCTTAGGTTTTGTGAATATTATTCCAGCTAGGAAGCTGAAGGTGGAAACTCGTTAGATTGCTTGAGTAGAAAAGAATCTAACAAGAAAGGGTTTCAGGGATCCCAGTGGTGAAAATCTGGAGATCGTTGGTTTGATCCGGTGAAGGACAAACAGTTGTAAATATTCACAATAGGGAACACTGAAATAATAAAGTACCTCACTGTAGAAAGAGTTAAAGGATTGTAACATCGGAAGACTTAATGTAACTCAACCAAGCCATTTTGTATCCATCAAGCTTGTGCCAAGTTCAACAGTTTAATTTTGCAACAATTACGCTCTGATAACAATAAACCTATTCTTTTTGTGTTTTAAACTTGCCTCCTTCACTGATTTCCACGTTTGAAGCATTCCACACTACCCAAGGTGCCTCACAACACAGATAAGGATAACCAGAGATCATTTTTACCAATATCACTTATATTATGGTGACAATTTAAGCTAGAAGTCTCAAATCTTTATTACATCTGTGTGGTGATCCTATTTATTTGGGATTTTACACCATTATTTCATTTTGGAGACTTCCTCACATATTTTGGTGGCAGCAAGTGAACGGTTTTAAATTTTTAGTAACAAGCGGTGGGAGTCACGGCTTCGCAAATTTGGTGGCAGACGACAGGATTCGTGTAACAGCTAATCGAGTGCCTTAAGTTTAATTTTGAAATAAGTTGTGAGGTAAAAGTTGCTGAAAAAATGGCTACCAGGCGGCAGAGAAAGCTAGCTGAGGAAAGAGTAGAGGAAAATTCGAGCTCTGAGACAGATGAGCCGATGCCTTTCTCAGAAATGGCTTATAAGTATAAACTAGAGATGAAACGATTGGAGATGGAGAAAGAGGCAAACAGAGAGAGTTTGAAGAAAAACAGAGAGAGAGAGAACTGGAGAAAGAGGCAAAACAGAGAGAGTTTGAAGAAAGACAGAGAGTGAGAGAATTGGAACAGGAGTTAGAATTGAAGAGAATGGAGTTTGAGCTAGAGAAACAAAGATTGGCTTTGTCTCGAACAGCCAGTGAAACCCAGGAGGGAAGATCTGGAGGAAATACCCCAGATTTGATGAAGAAATTCCCAAAATTCAACAAAGACGATGATCCAGAGAAATTCCTAATATCTTTTGAGAGATGTTGTCGAGATTTTGATGTGGCTAAAGAAAGATGGATGACATACCTAAGGCCACAAATAAGTGGGAAACTTTTGCAGATTTATGGACAGATGCCTGAGGAGTCTTATGGAGACTATGATCTGTTTAAGAAGCAGATTCAACAAGAATTTAGATTGACTCCTGAATATTATAGATTTAAGTTCAGGACAATAAAAAAGGATAAAGCTCAAAGTTTTGCTCAGGTGGCCTCAAGACTGTCTCAACTGTTTGATAGTTGGATAAGGACGTCGGAGGTGGAAGATTATCAACAGCTGAGGGAACTTTTGAAGCTGGAGCAGTTTTTCCAAATATTGCCTTTTGATATCCGGTGGGTGATTCAAGATCGCAAGCCAGCCACTGTTGTAGAGGCAGCGGTTATGGCAGATCAAATTACAACCTTAAAAGAGGGATTTAAAAGAGAAGATCCACCAGGCGAAAGAAGAGAAACAAGCCGCCATTTTATCCACATAAAACGCGCCCACAACCAGGGAAGGTTTCTGACTTAGAAAACACCATCTATAGGAGGCAGAGTGTAACAAGACAAACCTCTCCTGAGGTAAAAAGACGTTGCTTTCAATGTGGAAAATTGGATCATATAAAATATCAATGTTCTCTGTTAAGGAAAGAAAAAACATCCCTCTTTGTGAGCAAGATGAAAGAAACACCACAGGCAGGACAGGATACTGTTTCGAAAGAGAGTTCAGGCTTGGAGCCACAAGAGAAACAATGTTTGTTCATCTTGTCAGGCAGCCCATTTAAAGATTACTTGGAATCCATCAGTATTGACAACCAGGACAGGAAGGGACTCAGAGACACAGGTTCAGAAGTGTGTTTAGTGAATCCTGAAATAGTACCTCAGGAATTTCAACAGCCAACCTCTGAAGTAAAGCTAAAAGGTTTAGGACCTGCGATTCCAACTGCGGTCGTGACCTTACCAATAGAATATGATGGATGGAAAGGTATGTGGGACTTTGCAGTTAGTCCTGACATACCATACGAATGCTTAATTGGAAACGATTTGGCTGAGAGGATTAAGAGCGAGAAGATGGCGTGTGAGGAGAAGGAATATAACATCGAAACCCCTGAACCAGCAGCCCTATGTTTTGCCGTACAGCATGATGGAAGTGAGGGTCCGGAGTCCAGTTCTACAGTTGCTGAGCTTGTTAGTAAGACGGGAGGAGTTGAGGAGATTCGGCAGGAACAAAGAGCCGATAATTCTCTTAAGCCTCTATTCGCGGCAGCTCAAAACACCCAGGTATCAACAAAGGAACAGCCCTCCGAGTTTGTGCTAAAGAAGGGTGTATTATACAGAGAAACCAGAAGAGTACCCTCGACAGAAGGATCAGTGTCAGATAGTCAAATTGTAGTGCCTCAAAAATTTAGAGAACAGCTAATGAGGGTGGCACACGAAAACCCTCAAGGTGGACATTTGGGTGTGAGAAAAACCACGAGTAGGATCACTAGGAATTTTTATTGGCCTGGCATGTTCCAGAGAATAAAAGAATTCTGCCAGTCATGTGATACATGCCAAAGACAAACTACAGGGAGGGATAAGACCAAAGCACCTCTTATCCTATGCCTTTAATTGGAGAGCCGTTCTACAGAGTGGGAATTGACATAATTGGTCCCCTCAACAAGCCAAGCAGACGTGGCTATAGATACATCTTAACTATGATAGACTATGCTACGAGGTATCCCGAAGCAATAGCTCTCACTAACATCGAGACTACAACTGTAGCTAATGCTTTATTGTCTATCTGGGGAAGGACTGGATACCCCAAGGAACTGGTATCTGACTTAGGGACCCAGTTTACCTCAAAGCTCATGACAAAATTGCTTGAGCTATGCGGAATTCGACATCTTACATCAACGGCATACCACCCCCAAACCAATGGGTTGGTTGAAAATCTGAATAAGACACTGATTAAGATGATGAAGTCATATTGCCAAGAAAGACCATTTGATTGGGACAATAAGCTTCAACAGCTATTATTTGCTTATAGAACCGTTCCTCAGGACAGTACAGGATACAGTCCTTTTGAACTGTTATATGGCAGGAAGGCTCGAGGACCGTTAGATTTGGTTAAAGAATTCTGGGAAGCCAGCCCAGTAACAGAACCGGTTCCTGTAGATGATTATTTGAGAGATCTTCAATCAACAATGCGGTTAGTCAGAGACATTGCACAAGAGCATCTAACTGCAGCACAACATCGGCAAAAAGACTATTACGATGCAACGGCCAAACCAAGAAACTTCAATGTGGGAGACGAAGTCCTGTTTTTGTCGCCCAACAGAACCAGCAAGCTTCAACTAGATTGGTCGGGACCATGGAGAGTCACCAGAAAGCACAACCAAGTGAACTATGACATCTATGATGAACATTTAAATGTTGAAAGGAGAGTCCATGTAAATATGTTAAAACCTTATGTTGTAAGGTCTGCGAATGTATGTTTTGTTGTTGCGGAAGAAGAATCCGGTCCCTTTTCTTTTTGGGAGGGTGATCGTGAACAGTGTAAAAATTTGGATCGGGTAGATATGAACATAGAATTGTCTAACAAGCAGCGTAGAGAGGTCGTAGAAGTGTTAAGTAAAAAATGGC